ACTCAGTATGCTAAACAAATCAGAAACAGAACTACAAGGAAAAAAAATGTGAAATCAGGATTGAAGAAAGACTCATTAATAATCTGCTTTATTTGGATTATACAACCTTGTTTGAAAAATGAAGAGAACTGGAAACTTTCACTTCAAATGGTCAAAAACTGCAGCCTTCTATATGGATTCCATCTTGCACAGAAGGAGATTGCCCATCCTTTACCCACTTTGAATATCAAGAAGATAAAAATCCTTACCACTGTACTGATAAGCAACTGTAATGATAGATAGAGAAAAGATTGAAGTTGCCAGTGATTTTCTCTTACTTGAGTCCATAATCAACTCCTTGGTACCAGCAGTCAGGTGATGAAGAGTATTGCTCTGGGCAAATCTGCTGTCAGGGACCCTTCCAAATTACTGAGGAGCAGTGATGTCGGTTTGAAGACTACTGTGTGTCCGATTCAGACCATGATATTTTTAGTCACTTTCTTCTTGAAAGTTGGAGAATGAATAAGGATGACAGAAGAACAGTTGATGCCTTTGAGCTGTGGTGTTGGAGAAGAATAAGGAATATCCCATTGTTCTGTCAAAACAACAAACATATGGGGAAAGCGTAGAAAGAATGTTCCTTAGAGACAAGGAAGACAAAGCTTCCTCTCACATACATTGAGCATGTTACTAGGGGAAGCTGTTCTTTGGGATGGGACATCATGCTTGGAAGGATGGTCAGTGAAAGAGAGGAAGGCCTACAATGAGATGGATTGACATAGTGATTGTGGTAACGGGCTCATGTGTGTCAGAGATGATGAGGATGGCACAGGATGAGACCGGGCTCAGGTCTGTTGTCCTTACGGTTGCCATGAGTTGTACTCCATGACACCTAACAACAGGAACAACAACAGTATGATTTATGCTAAATGTTGTGCTGCCAGCTTAAAGGTCAGTGAGTTCAAGTCTGTCATCTCCATGGGAGAAAAATGGGCAGCCTCCTTTGTAAAGATGTACAACTTTGGAGACCTGATGGGAAATTGTTGTGAATTACAATGAACTCCACTGCAGGAAGTTTACCACCACTGAAAGAAGTTGCTAGGAGGTTATCTTAATTTGCTAATGCTATTATAACAAAATATCAAAGGCATTAATAAGTAGAAATTATTTTCACCAGCTTGTAGGCTACAATCTAAATCAGCATTTTTGCAATACTGATTTCTTCTGTGTTGGTAGTCTTGGGTATTTGGTTGTCAGTTCCTTGACTTGAGGATGAGCCTTAAAAGGTGTCTGTCTTCCCCTAGTTTATGCATATCTCTGTACTGAGTCTGCTTTGGAGAAGAGAGAGACAGGCACACACTCTGGTGTTAGTGTGAAAGTTGGCTTTTCTAGCCTTTACATTAGCTCCTGCTCGTCTCCAGCTACCTTAACTGTGGACACATGGTCTTGAAAATCATCAACAGCTGTAGGACTAAGAGAGACAGTACTTTTCACACTGGAGAGTGAGACACTGGTGACAGCAATGATTGAGATATTGTGGAGAGACTGTGACAAAGTGTAACTTGAGGCTTTTTGCATTTGTTTTGGACACAATTAAAAGTCTGCTTGCTGGATGATTGAGAAAACCAGAGGCTTCTTGAATTTATGTTCCTGAACTGAAACCAGGGTTTTTACTAATTGAGAAATTGTGTTTTGCTGTTAGTTTGTTTTGGGACTGCTGGACTAAACCTTGACTTGCATTGTGAAATAGTCTTTTCCTCCCCCACTCCCTAGGCTATTTCCCTAATAAACTCTAATCTTAGTACCACAGCTGTGAGCAAATCTGTGAGTAAACAATGAATACTGAACTCAATGATTGGTGGAAATAGGTGCAGGAGCATGAGGAGTGGCATGTTAGACCTAGAAGCTATCTGTTTGCTACTCTGAGTATTCCTGATAGGGTCAGTTTCCCTTTATGAAACTAGTAGAAGTCCAGCTTGACCACCCCCATGTTTTATCTGCTCCTTTTTTACAAACACGGGGTTGGGCAGGGGCAGAGACATAGAGAGATATACAGATATATAGCAGTTATAACTATTGAGCCACTACTCTGGTGGCCTAGTGCAAGAAGCTGCATTGCAGTCCTGAAGGCACACAGTTCAAGGCCACCACCTGCTCTGTGGAAGAAGGATGGGCAGTCTCCCATGTGATTAACTGCCTCTGAAAACCCAACAAAGGATAGTAGGTTGGTTCTGACTCCACAGTACAGAACAACAAGATGCCATCGAGTCAGAACTGATTCATAGCTGAACTTGTAGCAGATTTTCAGAGACTTTAAATTGCACGAGAGGAGATACATAGCCTGTTGTCGCCTAAGAAATGGCTGGTGGATTTGAACTACCTGCCTTTGGATTGGCAGTGTAACTCCCAAACTATTATATAAAATGTATGTGTATATTTTTATATAAAGTGAAAACATGGTTAAACATAGATGTAAACAGAGGTGATTCATTTTGAACTTGGCCTTCTCTGGTGATTCAGTAATAGAAGCTGACCTTCTGTGTGAGAGATCATGTTTCACTTCTAGGACAGCCACCAACCATTATTAGTGGAGGCTTCCCTGTTGCTGTGATATTGAACAGATTTTTTTGATTCTTCTGGACTAAGGTGAGAAAGAAAGGTTTGGTGATAACACTTTTGAAGTGAACCTGTGTAAACTTTATGGACCACAGGGATTGATCTCCAACCTGTAATATTGTATGTGTTGATGTGAAACCAACTTGTAGTTAACCCTCCAGCAAGTTTTCAGAAGCAGTAAGTTGTGTGGGAGGAGATTTTTCCATCCTTCTCCTACAGAAGCTCA